GGCCGGGTGGGTTACGCGGTCAGGACCGGACGCGGAGGGCCCTGAAACCCGCCGGGCTCCCATCGACAGTGGTTGAACTGGAAACCCCTCGCCGACCCTCGTCCCAGAGCTTGGTGGTAACATTTTCCCACCACAATCTTGTCAACACGCTTTGAGGAGATGGCTCTGGCAATTACAGATAGGTATCTCTCTATATAAAAGTATCTCTCTCTATAAAAAATTGTAATTATGAGCTGCAATGAGGTCAGATTTATTTTTTACAGTATTACCTGGTTTTCTGTGTGTCACTTACCAACCTGATTTCAACCTGTAAGCACTTTGTTACTCTTTATACCAATCTAATAAAGATTTTTTTTCGCCACATGGGTATCCTTCAATCACAGAAAGATTTAAAAACACAACTTCCATGGGAGCAGGGCTCGGAACACGTTGGCTTCAAAGCCTCTCCCCCCTGTCAAACACCCTCCCGCGGAAACCCACCGTCCCCGTGTGCCAACCCCTTCTTGGCAGTCGAGCGCGTAACGAGCGGAGGAAGTTGCATCTCTCACCTACCCCGGTCGCGTTTGCTCCTGAAGGCAGCACCCAGGATCGCAGCGCACGTGTCACAAACCTTTATTGAACACGGCCCAGAGGCTCGGGGAATACATTTGGTGTAGCGCCGGCCCAGGATTAAGAGGAACATTAAAAATATAAAGGCTGTAAATGCAGAGCTCTTAATCCTGGAAAAACTAAAATTGAAAAAACCCACGTTCTGAGTTAAAAAACATGAAAAAAAAATCCCTATCAAGACTGTCACCTTTTGACTCCCCCAGCCTGAGGCCCGGAGAAGGGCTCAGCAGTCCCTCCTCCGTATTTTTATTGCTTTCGGCTGGGAAGTGACCCAAACTCACCGGGTTCCTTTGCTCTGTCGGCTCCGTCCCGCCGCTGCGGTCGCTGGCAGAGGGCAAAGGCCGCGCCATCCCCTCCTGGCAGGAGGGGAGTCAGACTGCAGCCCAGCAGCCAACCTCCTAGCAACACGTGCCGCTTCCTCGGCAAAACTGCCCCTTCCAGGGGGTTGTTCCTCTTGGGATACTTGGAACCCACGCAGCAAGAAGGATTATTTGAAGTTAAGGCAGCAATAACTAGCAGAGGTCCAAAAGCCTGCCTTCGCGCCCTGAGGCAGGAGAGCGGGTTTTTTGGGTGTCAATAAACGCGCTTTTTCTTCAGCGAGGATTCTGCGTAACGCGCTGCGGAGCCCTGCGTCTGCGGGCCGAGGTACTCCACGACGCCAGGTTCCGGGGAGGAGGTGAGGTACGACGAGCCTCGCTTCTCGCTTCGCGCTGGAGCCACCTACGGACAAGCAGACGACAAGCGACACATGAGCCAGAGCAAACGGTGTCGATGAATAAAGCTCCAGCCTGGGAATTACCAAGGCCCAGGAGCCAGTCGCCAACTCCGGAGGCCCGACGCCATCGGCTTTCAGATCCAGCCATACACAGCTCGTGAGTCAGCGGTCGTGCCCTTTCCCTAACAAAAACTACCGCCCGTAAACGCGTCGGTGCCACCGACCGCGCGTTGTTGTGAGGGCAGAGGGCTGGCTGGGCCACCCCTCC